GCCGGGCCCGTGGCTTCCCGCCCTCCGGCCGGGCCAGACTCGCCTTCTCCCGTCTTGCTCCCTCTCGAAAATTTTAATTGATTTGTATCCTGCAGTGACCTCTCGCAGTGCCGCAGGTCATCTGAAAACGTGAAATGGCGACAGCGCAGACAGATCTATGCTAAAAAGTTGGCTTTGGATATGCAAAGCCTGGGAATTCACTGCAGCAAAACCCAAGTTTTAATTCTGCAGCCTTGACTATATCGCAGGTGTATCATAGAGGCTATAGTCCATAAAAATACATTTTAATATATAAAATATATTATGAATTATATAAAAATCACCCTCCACACCACGTTAGTTCTGTAGAGTGGAACAGGAAGCTTTCCCAGCGTTTGTTCCTTTAATTTTTCGTTGGTTCCCCCCACCTTTTAAAAGCAGTGGATAATCAGCAAAAACGGATACACAAAACCAAACCAAACACAAAACCAGGCCTCTTCGAACACAAATGGCAGACGGAAAACACTAGCCTTGTATTTGTATAACATTTATGCACTAAATAGTATTTTCTACTTCAGCAATATTTAAATCACAACAACTACAGTTGTATAGTTCAGGCAATTGCGTAACATTAAATGTTGTCTAAGCCTTGTAACTAATAAATAGCATATAAAAGTGAAAAAAAAATCATGGTAACAATTCATCTCAAAAAAAATCTGCTTCAATTGCCTGCAACAGTAACTTTAAAATAATTTATAAGCATAAGTCATTATATACAGCCATTTTAAATTCCAGTGTTGCTGTGTTTTAAAATGAAAGTTGTCATCTGCACCTTTTCAGCATTTTCAGTATCCCAAGCAAATACAGCAATAAATTACACACAGAAGCATTTTTCATATGTTTATTTGTTTTAGAAAAAAGCCAAATCAACAGCAAACCCAGTAAAAAAATAAAACACGCTCCACACAGATACGGTGAGCAATGCAACCTCATTCTTGGCAACCACCTTTCCAGCAACCAATCATCACACCAACTCAAGTCAGTGCCTTGTTTCACTGAGACTTCCACCAAAGGCACCAATGCAGTTGCAGCCTGTGAACAGAAGTTCAAAGCGAATCAAGCTGTACCCCCCCACAAAACAAAAAACCAAACAAAAAACACCCACAAAAAACAAAACACATAATCTGGAGTTAGAAAAAAATGAAACCCACACACTCCTGCTGCACCTACCAGCTGCCAAGCTTTGGATTCCAGGTCACATCAGTTATGCAACTGCTGGGTGACTGAGGTGGCTCAGCAAGCGCAGCAGCAGCCAGCATGCTTCCCAGCCTCCTGTTCCTTGACTTCACGCAGCCCTGATTTATTTCCACAGCAAAACCAACACATGTTAGCAGAGGTGCAGGACTTTTTAAATAAGCGTTCCATGATTCGCGCAGATTGGAATCCCATGGGATTGTCAAAGGAGTTGGCAGTTACACGTTCCTTCTCATGCTATTCCTGAAGCACCAACATTGCTACATTTGCTTATTCTGTGTATTCATTAACTGAAAATTCTCTCAGATGAGCATTACTGCTGTACAGGAGGAAAGAAGCATCATTTCATGGGGCAGCTAGTAATTTTTTTTACTAACAGCAACATCAGAATTCTTCCTCTGCATTTGGAATATGTGAACTCATAAATTTCTTGAGTTTTTCAATAGCAGAAGATACTGAAATCTCTCCATGAACTTTGTTGTCCCTCGTTCGCACATTGACAGTATTATTCGCTTTCTCCTTTTCTCCAACCACTGCAAGACATATCACAAACAAAATTAGACCGACTACCTACATTACAAAATCAGAGTCTAGACAACTCTATACCCAAACATTAAGACTTAAATGATATTCAGAAACATAAGATGCTGCAATTACCTAAGATAAAGTTATACTGGGCCAGCTGTGCATTTCTAATTTTCTTGTTTAATGTGCAACTTTGATCCAGATCCACATCTGACATAAATCCTGCTTCAAAAAATTCACTGCAAACCTGAAAAAAAAATCCCCAAAAAGCTCTCACTTAGTATTACAGTATATATTCTACAACAAAAATTTT